TTTTATTTTTTATGTTGCAACCAATCCTTTTATGTTCTCCAATCAGCCAACAGTTCTGATTTATGGCTTTCTTCCCTTTTTACACAACGACTGTTCTTCTCCAGAGAAAGCGACAGATCTGCCTCCAACTTTATCCTCTTCAAACTTTTTGACCAGTGAACACAAATTTCTGAGGAAAGTGATCTTACCAACTTTAAATTCATAATTGGGAATTTCTCTTTTAATGTCTCCAGGCTTGCCTGGTTTCTGCTTCTGAAGATCTGCCAGCAGCCCCCATCACTAAAGATATCATGGCTGTTTCCAAGCTGTGTCACAAAACTCTGGAATGTTAGTCTTCTAGAACGGTTGTATAATAAATGCAGGGCTCCTTTTTCCCTAGAAAAGGAGGGAGTGTATATAAATCGACCACAACAAAGGCAGGTTCAGTGGCTCAGCCTGTAATCCCAGCACTTTGGGAGACTGAGGTGAGTGGATTGCCTGAGTCTGAGGGTTCTAGACTAGCCCGGGCAACTTGGCGAGACCTCATCTCTACAATAAATCAAAAAAATTAGCCAGGCGTGGTAGCATGTGCCTGTAGTTCTGGCTACTTGGAAGGCTGAGGCAGAAGGATTGCCTGAGTCCAGCAGGTCAATGCTGGGATGGCCTGGAGCATGCCACGGCACTCCAGCCTGGGCGATGGAGTGAGACTCCAACTCAAAATAAATAAATAAGAAAATAAATTGATCACAGCAACATGTGTGTGAATATGTCAGAACTGTGACTGTTGGTCAGATTCCTCACACCTCAGAACCCTCACTTATGAATGACCTAAAAAAATGAAAATCTTGCTTGTTAAGGGCTGCATGATGCCTAAACCTAAAGGAAATTTGTTTCTGCATTGGATTCTAAATGCATGTGGCTGTGGGCAGGGAGGGAGGAACAGAGGATGTTGCAAAGAAGTCTTATCTAATATATTTTTGAAGAGAGATGTTATAGAAAACATTGGTTTATCAAGAGATGGTGTAGCCTGCTAGGGCACTGGAGAACCGGATTCTGGACTTACTGCTCTCACTAAGTCAATACATCACCTTAGCCAGTTTCTCCAATTTTGGGGGTCTCAGGTACCTTCAAAAGTAAAAGTTAGCTTGTTGGATCAGGTGATATCCCCTACACACCCACTTTCATACCCACAGGAATTGTCATGTGTTGCCATGCAGCTTTGATTTACATTCACATGAAGGAGACATGGCACAGTGACTGCCAGTACCTACTGTTGCCAAAACACTCCTCTGAGACTTCATCTGCTGAGTGGTCAAATAACACCTCTATCCCGGAGAGGGTAAGGAGTTCCACTCTGTGTCACGTTATCTTTCTAACTGCAAGGTCACATAGTCAAGACAACCTCAAGCCCACATAGAAGATAGGGTGACTGCTTGAAGCAGGGATGCTCCTAATGTGGTCCCCAGACCAGCAGTATCCACACCACCTGGAATTGTTAGAAATGCAGATTCTCGGGCCTCAATTGGGTCTACTAAATCAGAAATTCTGGGCTGGACACACAAATCTATGTTGAAACAAACCTTCCAGGGGACTGTGACACTTACTATATAGTTTGGGAACTACTTGTTCTCTGGCAAGTGTCAGAAGGTGTTCAGTGGGTTGCTGCCAAACACACTTGGTGTTAGTCCAATTAAGTAGTACTCATGCTCCCAGTTCCCATTGAACTGTATCTCATTTAGCCACTTTTTAGAAGCCTTTTTCTTTCAGAACGCACTAGGGCTCTGTAGAAAAAAAATGCTTTTCAAGTGTCAATGCACCTTAGACGTGGATGAGAATCTGGCCTAAGGAGACCTCTATGGTAATGTACTAGCCACTCCTCCACGCAGGAGTCAGCAGGAAGTGGTATTGGCTTCTGATTTTGATATTGGCCACCTGACCAAATACAGCAAAAAGAACCCGAATGCGACATTTCCCAGAACTTCTGCAGACCTGGTACACAGAAAATGTTCAAGATCTAAGGTCTGCTGGTGGTTAAACATACACAGGTCAGTGGGGCAGCACCGCATGGGGGCCAAGGCACTGCAGAGGTTGCCTGTGACGCTGGGTCAGGTCCTGTCTTGACTAACTGGTTTTGGGATTCCAGGTGACTTCTTTCACCTGAAAAGGTCTTCTTAGTCTCACCCGTAAAATCAAGGGTACACACAGTCTTCAGGGTTTATTTCATCTATTTCAATCATTTTTGATAAGTAGTGATACCTGCAGACCTAGTGGTTTTTGAATCGGGAATGGTGAGCAGTGACTTCAAGATGGAAAGGGAGCATAGGATAAGCTGAGCTGTGATGCAGTAGCAACATTGCTTTTTCAAGTTCCTTGCTAGGCCATGGGTGCTGCAGCCTGTGTTCATGACTCTGCATTATAAATACAACCCACTTAGGCTTGTCTTTCCATCTAGACTCTAGCCTTTAGACTGATTTGGCTTATTTGGTTGTCTTGGAGACATTCTAATTCTGAGGTGGACAGTGGTCCCTTCTAGAAGATAATCTCCAAAGGCAGACCTCTCCTTAGTCTGAATCTTAAAGTTATAGCTTGAGCCAGTTAAAGCAGCTTCTCATTTTTCTCTCACCCTAATCTCAAGGAGCAGTTTTTCCTCTCATAATCTAGACCTTCTTCTTCCTATGACAACCTCCAAAGATTGTGGCAAAAAAGCAGATTGCAAAGCCCTTTTCCTTCCTCTGAGGTAGAACTTTGCAAAAGGTTTTTCTTGTTAAATGTTAACTTTCAGAGTGAGGACTGTCTTTTTTTTTTTTTCTCTCTCTCTCTCTCTCTCTTAAGCCCATTGCATAACAATCTCTTATTTTAACCTTTTGCCAAACTCTGCACTTCTCACTGTTAGAGGTTACTATGAGTATTTGAACAGGTAACGTCTACCTTTGAACTTCTATTGCAACAGGTTCAAAGGTTCCAGGGGAGCTTGGTGGCCACTCTCAGGACACAGTACACAGTGGCTTCAGGTGTGTCCCAGTTCCAGAAGCTGAGAAAAGGGTAGAGGTGCCTGAATGTGGTGCTGAGCAAACACAGCCAGCTGTGAGGGGAGCACTTCCTGGTCCCAGGAAGTGAGAGTCTCCTTACAAGGTAAGCTGCTAGATGCCACCTGCTCTGTATTTCATGAATCTATGAGCTAGTGGGGATGGGGGAGGGGTGGTGTAGGGGGGAAAGGGTGGGGTGTGTTATTCTCAGCCTAAGGCTCTTTTATAAGGTGAAATTGCTTTTAGCTGAGTAGTAATCTCAGCCGATTTGTGTGGGAGGCAAAGAAAAAAAAACAGTTGGAAAGGGGGTGGAGACAAGTAAGCCGTCTGAATGCTAGCAGGAGATGGTTTGGAAGAAAACATTAATTCCCCTAAATGTACTAAAAAAGACAAAGCCAGGATGTGGGTCTCTCTCATCTTCCATTGAGAAATTTCTGTCTCAGTATGGTTAGAATGACCATTCATCAGCTGCTGATGGCAGAGATTCCCCTTTGGGAGTGAGAAGGGGAAGGGAATTTTGGCAGGTATTCTATTAATATTAGGTACTGAGGAGACTGTTCTAGGTAGATGACAAGTATTAGTTCATTGGCTCTTTACCTCCTGTAATTCCCATGTCATAGATGAATAGTGTGTCTGAAGAGTGTTAAATAGCATGGCCTGGGCTCCATTGCTAGGAGGTGACATGCCTAGGATTTGAGTCGTGATTGGTCTGTCTCTACAGTCTGCTCCAAAATGTAAAATTATTGCATTTTAGAACCTTTGATTTTTCCCTGTACCTTTAAGGGTGTCACTCTTGTGCACATAAGATTGGGTAGGAATGCAACTCCGATGGAACTTTAGAATGACCCAGACCTTCCTGAACTTGACCTTCCTGGAGAAGATCGATAAAAAAATAAAGCCTCATCTTCTCCTGGCCCTGAGCCCTTCATCTGGTTGGTGAAAGACAACAGCACCCAGCAAAGAGCCCAGAGGTATTAGAGTAGCTGAGACTTGACACCCACTCTACCATTCTCTGCTCTCCTCTGAAGGAAGTTGTCTTTTGGGGAGCCAAGCTTCTGAAACTAAGAAAAAGTCAATTTGCTCTCCAGCCATGAGATGTCCCAGAAGATGGAGTGCCAGGGACCACCCTTCAACTTCCTGTTCTTCATCTTTCTTTCATATCCAAAGGGGGCCCCCAGGAGACCAAGAGATCAGCTCTTGTGTTCTTGGAGATTGTGGCACAGCTCAGCCTGGCTTCTTTAGCTGGAAGTTTCTAGGATCTCCTCTCTGAAGAGAGTAAACCCTAACCTAGCTCTAGCAAAGAGTTAGTCTCATGCTGAAATTCCTTTGAGTCTTTTGGGGGTATTAAAGCTGGGGAAAGTTCTGCTTAACACTGAAAAGTGTGTGAGGTGGGACAAGGCAGGAAAACTCATTATTTCTGCCTCCAAATCTGAGACTGGCAGCTCCAGAGTCCCTCTGTGGCCACAGCCTTGGGTGAATCAAATGAGACTACTACAGGTCCTGGCAACACTAGGGGGTGGTGAAAGAGGCAACAGAATACACTTTTAGCTTAATTTTTTTAGATGTGAAAGGCTGAGCTGATGGTGTCAGAGGAAAAGGAACCATGCCAATGTAATGACTCGCTGTCCCTGTTGTTCTTGTTTATTTTCTCGGCTTTGTCAGCACTGCTTCGGGGACTGAGGCTGACAGCCCTTGGGGTCGGAGAAAGGGGTTACATGGTCATGGGATCTGAGGGCTTAAGTGCCCTCTAGCTAGACTTTCCTGTCCTGCAAGCCCAGCAGGGAACAACGTCACCTCCATCCCTGTGACACTAGTGGTCTGAGGGGGCACTTCAAGTCATTTTAGTTTGGTTTTCTGTTTTTAGAGGCAGTTAGTCAGAGGAGGACAGGGTGTGTTATGCTGTTACAAACGGTTTTAGTTCCAGCCCTTAGGGGCTGGGGTTAAAGCCTTTGACAACAAGCCAGGCAAGCTTTGGCGGCTTCTCTCCTCCTGGTCAGAATACTTCCACTTTCAGTTGTGAAAGAAAAACCAGGAAGTCCCCGAGCACGTTAGAAAACCCAGCCATGGCCTGACTCAGGACAGCTCAGAGCAGGGCATAACTGGGGGTGCTCTGAGACAGCCTTCTGTCTGTATGGATGCTCTGAAGACACCCTGTCCCTGGAGGAGCCGGGGGTGAGGAAAGAGGAACAGAGTCTCATGTGCCAGGAAGAACTTGGAACCAGGAAGCCCCGTTCTCTGGAAGCACCAAGAGATGCGGCCCCTTCGCAGGGTAAGGGGACTATCCAGGGGGTGTTATTTAGCAAGGGGGTCTTTTGAGCATGTGACAGAGACTAAGGGGGCACTCTGACCCCCAATTTAGCAAAGCCACTTAGACTCTAGGGCTTGCTGTGTCCCACCCACAGACCACGCACTCTCTCCCCCAGTGTCTAAGGGATGCTTTTAGACCCTCTGTGTCAGGAAGAGGAAGCAAAAGGAGGATTGTGGAGCATGGATCCGACTTTCTTTCTCCTGCCTCTCTTGGGGGAGGTGAACCATCAAAGACATCTCTTTTTGTGGATCTGAGCATCTGGCATAACTTCCCTGCAGTGGGCTTAGGGGTCTTCCCTCAATTTTCATGTTGGACGAGACTGATGAATAAGTCTGATGAAATGGGAGAGACTGGTGGAGTAGTTTCTAAATGAAGTTGGATTTATTTTAAGGAGCAGCATCTCAGATTAATTCTAAAGTGAATTTCAAGGACCCTCAGGGAGTAAACATTGGGAAAAGAAGGGATTCCACGATTGGGATTTCATACCTTCTGTGGGTATCAACATTCTTGGCTGTCTGAAAGGTAGGGTTGAATCTATAGCTCCAACTTGTAGGTGATTGGTATTCTGTATCAGAGGCAGAGACTTTAAAAATAAAATTATAAACTGACTTAGTGAGAAAAAAAAGGAGGAATTAGTTTTATTTGATCCCTCCCTCCACATTCTGGTGTGGAGTTCCTCTTATGGTGGACCCTCTGATTAACCAGTATTCGAGGCAGACACAATATGCTTGAAAGAGGCATGGTATAAATTCTTGTGGGCATCACTTTTGTATTTGGCATAATCAAAGGAAGAAAACCTAAATAAAACAAATGGCATAAATGCAAATGCTCATAGGAGAGGCAGATAATATAGATGAGTAAAGTATACAGTGTATAACAAAATGTCAGTGATGGGAACTCTAGCAAAATTCAGGGCAGGCATACCACAGACAAAGGCATTCAAATTTAATTATTTTTTAAAAATACTTTTGATACTGACCAAACAGAATCTTTCAGCCAAGCATTTGGTTAGGTCCTGACCAGAAATAGTCTTCTCTCCCAGGCTGTATTTTTAACTTTTTGAGCACAAAGGCACTGCAACAGCATCAGTATATCATAGCATAGCTAAGTGCTCAGCACACAGTGAGACTACAGGTACTACAAGAAAGCTGGAGGTGAAGAAAGGAGAGAGAACTATGAATGAAGAGAGAGAGAGAACAAATCCAGGGAAGTGACAGCCCATAGTTTAATCAAGACAATCTTCCGAGTGGGTGATTTTACCATTTTATGGTTGACAAAGTAGGCTCAGAGAGGTGGAGCAACTTCACCGAGGTCATACAGCAAGCAAGTTGTCAAATTAGGATTGAAGTTGCAGGCAGTCCGATACTAAAATCATACTTCATCCACCCAAGTTTAGAGTTTCCTAGAAAATTTGTAAAAAGATTTTTATGTATGGTAATTGGGCTAGTAAATTTATTATATATGTTTGACATTTTTCTAGAACTGCAGATTTTATAGCTGCCATTCACTGAACATGTTCTTTGGGGCAGCACCATGCTTAGTGTTTTATGGGCCTTTTATCTTTTGATCTTCAACAATTCTGTGACGCAGGACTCTCTCATAGATGAGAAAACTGAGGCTCAGAAATAAAGAAACTGGACACCCTATGAATACATTGGATCAGGAACTTGAACTGGGACTCATTTAGCTCCAAGGGTGAGCTGTCCCTCAATTTCTGATTAGTCTAGTTTGGTGCATAGGTCAAAGAATTAGAAACTGGAAGAATTTTCTCTTTTGAAAATTCTCAGCCTGGCTCAGTGGCTCAGCCTGTAATCCCAGCACTTTGGGAGGCCAAGGCAAGTAGATTACCTGTGCCCACAGTTTCGAGACCAGCCCAGGCAACTTGGCAAGACTGCGTCTCTACAATAAATCAAAAATTAGCTGGGAATGGTAGCACGAGCCTATAGTTCTGGAAGGCTGAGGCAGAAGGATTGCTGGAGCCCAGCAGGTCGATGCTGGGGTGGCCATGTGTGTGCCACTGCACTCCAGCAGTGCAACGAACGCTGGGCCACGGAGTGGGACTCCAACTCAAAAAAAAAAAAAAAAGAAAGAAAGAAGATCTTCCCACCTCAAAACTATAGGCCAGAAAGCAGATTGGTGATTACCAGGGGATGGGAGGGAAGGAGGATGGGGGAGTGACTGCTTAATGGGTACAAGGTTTTCTTTTGGGTTAATGAAAGTGTTTTGGATCTGTAATATAATTTGGAGATGCGTGCTTTTAAATGTTTTACTGATAAAAGATGCAATTTGGAAAATATAGAAGTTATTGCTTTAGATGGTGACATAGCTATTATCTTTTTAAATTAAAAACAGTAGAGAAAAGGAAAAAAAAAAAAAAGAAAAGGAAAGGAAATGTTTTGGATCTAGATAGAGGTAGTTGTACGGCATTGTAAATATTCTAAATACCATTTAATTGTTCACTTTAAAATGGGCAATTTTATATTATGTAAATTGCATCTCAAAATAAGAAAAAATATCTATCCACCTCCAGTCAGGTGAGTTCCCAAACCAGAGGGTTTGGCAGCTTCTTAGAAACCAGGAACACGATGTCTGCTTCTGTCTGTCTTGTATGCCTGACCAGGAGATGCACTGACCCTCAACTGGAGTGCAGCCAGAGGTGACTCTCATGTCTGGAAGCACCCTGCAAGGGTGAGACATCCCCAACAGCCATGAACTGAGCCATCATTGCTGTTCTCACATTCTGCTAGAAATGTATCTAGGTCTGTTTCTCCCCTGTGTGACCACACATGCTGAGGTCAGAAAGGGATGCTCTCGCTAGCTCTTCCCCCTAGCACAGAATTCGATACTTTTCAAGTTCTCAATTCATTCTGTTGGAAGAAATACAAGAGTTTTGACATTTGGACAGTCAGACAGTCTATGCATTGCTGTGACCAGGCCATTGTATCAGCCTTCCTTGGGGAAGCCTATAGATCTCTCAACTTTCATGGGTCATTCTATTCTAAGAGCTGGGTGGTTGTGAGCGGCTTGTAGGAGGAGGCAGTGAATGGGTGAAAGTAGAGGTTAGGTCAGAAATAGACCATGGCTCCTCTAAACAGCAGTGCTCTGTTTAAATGGAAACGAGGAGTTGTTAAGACCTTCACATAAACGTGGAAGGGCAGTTATTGTACAAAAACCATGAACATCTCTTCTTTTTTTGTGACATCTCATAATTGACCCTCTGATATTGGCAATTGAGTTCAATGGAAGGAAAAGAGACCTAGACTTTACTGAGGACTTCTCATATGCCTGACAGCATACCAGAAGTTCTACACGCTGTGTCTCCTGTAAGTAGGGATTATCACCTGCCCCTTCTGTGTGCAGTTGAGGGAAACTGATGCTCAGTGACATCAAGTAGCTGTCCCCAGGGCTATCCATGTGGTAAGCAGGAGAGCTGTTGCCCTGGTACCTGAGAAGGCAATGGCCTTGAAAGTAGGCCCCTAGAAATGAGACAGTTGGCAATAAAGTTTTGTTGTTTGTACTTTGAATCTGGTGACTCCTGACTGTTGGTCTGACCAGGTAGTTCGAGGGCTGATTCTACAGAGAAATCAACGCAGGAAGCCTCTTTCTCCACCTCTTGCCCCACCCTGTCTTTATCCTGGAACAGGTGATGGGGTCCTAGCACTTTGATCAGCCTATCTTTTTACAGACCTTCTTATCAGATCCAGTGGACTTCTGATACTGGTTCTCCTTCCCTTGGTTCTCTCGTAATTCACTTGGTCAGCAACAGGCTTGGGATGCCTTTCAGGGGTGCTTACTGAGACAAGGTTTTCCTCGGGGTAGGGCTGTTGAACTGTGATTTGTTCGAAGCAGGGTGGTGAATTGAGGTTGACTATATCAATCTGAGCTCCAGTAGGATTTATTACTTCCTGTTGGGACTCAATAACTATCCAATGCTATCTAGATCAACTAAGTTAAGAGCCTCTTGGTATTTGACTTAACAAGGGCCTTCCTGTTAAATATGATTCTGCTCAACTGGTCAAGGCCTAGCCTTTCAGGGCTCTCTGGTGTTTATGAAGGAAATGACTCCAGTGATATTCATCCTTCCTGGAGGCTTTTTCTTTTTTCCTTTTTAACCAAAGGTGGACCCTTCACATCCATCAGAAATATCTCTTCACCATTTTCCTCCCCAAAATGTCCCACTTGTCCCCCTTTAGTGCCTCCAGCACATCTGAATCTTCCCCTTCTCCCCTTCCTCTTAGGTTTATCCAATCTAATGTGATGATTGGTCTCCCTATGAAGAAAGTGGGTGGAGGGACACAGACAGCAGTTGAGAAAAATGGTTTGGTGACAAGGACCTTGATTGGAATCATAGTTGGGGTCTTACTAGCTTCATAGATGGGATTATCATCTTGTATTGCCTCTGGAAAAGAGATTCTTGGCAATGAAGCCAGGAGATCAAGGATTATACATCCTTGAGGTTCTAGTGTCCCATACAGCTGCCCTAATCTTCTCCAGTCTACACTAGTTTCTCTCTTCTTCAAACCCATGAGCTTATCCCACACACTGAATTGTTCTGTAAGAGTTTCTAGCATCGGATAGATCTTTAAGTCTCCAGAAGACAGGAGCTATATCTTTGTTTGTCCCTCAGTGCATGGCACAGTGCGAGACATACAGGTCTAAGTTCTTTGTTTGCCTTATTGAGAGTAAATGTATAAGTAAGTTAAGAGTGCAGAGGGTAAATCCCCTGCCACACACAAATTTCTCCAGCATACCAAGTGATGCCGAAGCTGGACTGCATCCCACAGAGCACTAGTCTCAAAGCATTGTGACTACCTGGGGAGTTGGCTTTATCCCCTACTACACCAGGAACTCTAAGTGTGCTGTCCCATTGCTGAACACCCTGCCTGCTACACAGAAGGTGCTCACATATCCAAATGCATGCATTATGAGTGAACCTTGACCTCAGTCAGGTCGGGATGCTC